AATTATACACTATCAGCAATCTGCATTATTTGTGAATTTTGTAAGCCTTCTACACATTCTACCATTTTCTTGTACTTTTCGGAAAAACTTATTGAATTTAACAATTTCGGTTGTTTCAAAAGAAATTTATAAAATTATAAACAAGTTTTTAAAATGTTGTTTGGTAATTATTATCGATCTAAGGGTTTTAAATTTAAAATACATGATATAATAATTAATATGGAAATAACGGGATTAAAACGGGAAAAAAAGCGTCTCATTCGAAGTTTGTGGGGAAAACGGGACGTGATGATCCAAATAGGGACAATGCCGTTTTAAACGTAACATCTGGTCACTCTAGTTTACTCGTTTGTACAGTTTCTGTGAAGGGCATATGATGCAGGCGATTGTATCCGAAAACCGCACTCTTTTGATTTTGACTCGAAATAGGTCGATAGACAAAAACCGCACACATTATCGGTCATTGTATAACAAAATACCCCAAATCTATAGTGGTTAAAACCACTCACAACTTTTAGTGCTAACTAACCACGGTTGCGCCCGTCCTACCTTTTTACATGAAAAAAACACAACATGATTGCGCCAAGCTAATTAGCTCGAGAGCACCCAGTTTTACCTCTTTACCAGCAAAAAACGCAACACGATTGCGCCCAGCAAAGTAGTTCGATAGTGCTCTATGAAATATAAGGTTTTGCCTTTCTAAAAATTTTCAAATATATTATTAAAAAATAAAGTCGGAGTGTAAAACTCAAACTTTAAGTAAGATTAGATTATTATTTTAACAATTTACCTTTCCAATTTTACAGGCTTAAGACTGAAAATTTTCTGTGCTACGTAGTTTTTGTCTAATTATTTTATTCGATCTCGAAAATAAGTCGTTTTCACAATTTCTTTTTATTTTAAAATTTATTATTTATCTACTAACTATGTTTTCTGAAATTATGTTGTGATTGAGTTCATTAAGCACGCTAAGAACTTTTGTCACATTTTTATCAACATATATACTCGATGGAAAAATATTAAAATGATAATCTAACCTTACTTAAACTTTGAGTTTTATACTCCGACTGTATTTTTAAATAGTATATTTGAAAATTATTAGAAAGACAAGACCTTATATTTCACGGAGTGCTATTGAGCTAATTTGCTGGGCACAATCGTGTTGCGTTTTTTTCGTGTAAAAAACTATTACGAGCGCAATCGTATTTCACCGCTAACTAACAGATAAGTTAAGTATAAGATTATATATTACAATAATCATTCTAACACTATTTTAGTCCTAACCTTGATACTAATTTAAAATCTTGCTTCGTGTGTGGATCGCAATTTAAATTATATTTGTAAACTTAAACTCCATTTATGTCTCAATCCACTTGTCGCTGCTATCAGCTCTTATAATAAAAATAAGGGTGCCTTAACAACTATAAAATGAAATAAATGCTATGTGAAAAAAAAAATAATTATAAAAAGTTCAATGAGAATATATATAAAAATAATGCATTAAAGGTTGACACAAGAATAATAATAAAATAAATGTAATTTTAATACTAATAATATGGCCTGGCCGGTCCAACAAATTTTATAAATATAAATAAATAAGATAAAAATAAATTATAATAATAATACTGTAACCCACACGGCACACCAATAATAAATAGTAATAATAATAATAATAATATGATATAATATGGAAAAAAAATTTAAATGTATAAAAATAGTTAACAATGCAAATAATATTAACTATGCCTATGACGGTAAGGCCCGTCGTCTTTTATACAACAATGAACAAAAATATGGTCGACCAATACTCACAATGACCTATGACTGTGTTTGATGGCAGATTACATCCCACGCGACAGCACAAGTACTGTGACTATACAAATGCCTAAGTAGACTCACCGCAGTGTATGAAATATCAAACAAAAGGCACAGCACTTAATACGTGTGACCACCAAAGCGCAGCCACAGACGAAGACACCTCAAAGGTCAACATTCCTGGACTGAGACACAACGAATGAAAAACACGTTATTCACAAAGCAACTGCTAGTAAAACTAAAAAACAATGAAAATTAATCCGCTGGACACTATCTGATTGCCTCGAACGATGTTTTACCAAACGGTCGATTCACAAACAAAAATGACAATACTCAACAGCGTGTGTGGTTTGAACAAAATGGCTGCGGACGTATAAAAACTTGACAATGAAAATTGATGTGCACACCAAGAAGAAACATAGACGAGAAAAAGACGACGACGACGACGACATTCAACACGAAAGCTATGGCCGCCGGACACCACAAAATGAAGATAAATGTTTCAATACCACCACACAAAACTGAAAAACACGCGATATTAATGAAATTTCTGGCAATGAGAGCATGACTTAAACTTTTACTGAAAAACATAACCGACAAATTCAAAAACGTGCAATAACGAACATTTACATGCGATGATAACAATGCGATTACGTATCCAGCCGGTCGCACACGGACACTTATCACCGCCAACATTGAAAGCTGCGTATACACAACGAACCATTACGCATCACAAGAAAATGATAACACAGAAACACAAAGTTCATGGCATGGTGGCGCGAACACTCATCACTCTGATATTAAAGATTTATATGTTACTGAAATAGCCAAAACACACTATAAACGATTAAACAGCACACTTTGACTTTAACCCCGAGAAAATCCATAAGTGTAAAATCACAATTAATCGGTCATTGTAAAAACAAACAGAGCATATTTATTATTATTTATTTTTGTGTTGTTAATATCACACAATAATTATGGTGTTAAATGACGGACCAGAAATGACAAGCTAATACACAATAAACAAGTTTACATGTTTGAAGTCTTTAATCGCCACTGATTATTAGTCAGTTTTATTATTATTTATTTTATTGAATATTAATTGATATCTGAATCATTCGTATGTTGTTTTTGGACCCAAAAATTACATATTAAATTATAGTAATTATAAAACTTATATGTTAATAAAAATGTAAACAATTCAATATATTAAAGTTGTTGAGAATATGTTTCAATTTTATAAATATGAAATCTTGTTAAAACTAATGCATTCGAAAACCGCACGCTTTTGATAAAATGCAGTACAAAACCGCACATATTTAATAGGTTAAAACCGCACAGTTTTGAAAATTATTGTATCCCAAAATCGCACACTTTTGACTTTAACCCCGAGAAAGTCCATAAGTGTAAAATCACAATTAATCGGTCATTGTAAAATCAAACAAAGCATATTTATTATTATTTATTTTTGTGTTGCTAATACCACACAGTAATTTTGGTGTTAAATGACGGACCAGAAATGATAAGCTACTATATAATAAAAAATTTTACATCCTTGAAGTCTTTAATCGCCACTCGTTATTAGTCAGTTTTATTATATTTTATTTTATTGAATAATAATTGGGATCTGAATCATACGTGTGTGTTTTTCTAACACAACAATTTCATATAAAAAGTTAAAAACAATAAATCATATCAATTAATAAAAATGTAAACAATAAAATTTATTAAGAATGTTGAGAATATATTTCAATTTTATAAATATGAAATCTTGTTAAAATTAATGCATTCGAAAACCGCACACCTTTGATAAAATGCGGTACAAAACCGCACAGTTTTTAAAATTATTGTATCCCAAAACCGCACACTTTTGAATTTGACCTCGAGAAAGTTCATAAGCGTAAAAGCATTTTTTTTTTGTTTTATTACTTTTATTAAAAATTAAATTTTTCCTAAATAGGAAAATACATATTTAATATATTTCCTAACTAAAAAATATAAATTTTAATTTATTCAGTTATAAAAGCACTTCTAAAATGGCATACATTTAACAATTTTAACTTTTTTATTTGATTTTCATGGCTGACGAAATTTACAAATAGAGACAAATGGACGTAGCCGTTTGAACGTAGCCGTTTGGACTAGGGGACAAATAGACGTCAAAAGAAAAAATACTTTTTTATTTATATGTTATAAGACCATTTATATTTTATGTTCATAATATAACTCAGTGTTTCTCAACCGGTGTGTCACGACACACTGGTGTGTCGCCGAGCAAGTTCAAATGTGTCGCGTGAAGTACTAATATTAAATGACAAAAAACATTATTAACACTATTAACTATTAACAAAAATTAATAGGTATTTGATATAATTTCCATGATAATAAAAATAGATTTTCAGCTATCGACATAAAATAAATTGTATTATTATCGTTGGGTTATTATTATTATCGTCATTTTGAACGATTAATCGCGTTTGAATCGCCTATTGTGTGTCATCTTAATTTATAAATGTTGGTTTTTGATATTTTCGTTTATTTTTAAACAGTGAATACGTATAGTATATTTATACTGAAAACATGCACCATATCAATAACTCACTTTATTTGTATGCTCAGTTGTCATTTACTTCTATAGTCGAATAGATTTTTTCTTAATTTATTAACAACAATATTTTTTTGTTACTAATTAAAATAAAATGGATAAATTTTTGATTAAAAAAATACAAGTAGTAAGAGAAAATACAGATGAAGACAATTTGGAAACTAAAAAAAACTCATCTTCTGTAAATGCATCGTCAAGTTTAAAAAAGAAAACAAGAAAATCCTTCTAAAAAATTCAAAGGTAAATATCGTCAATACAATGAAAATTATTTAAAATTATGATTTTTTTGGGTCGGCGACAAACATTGTCCTATTCCATATTGTTTTATTTGTGACGAAAAATTGTCGAATGAATCAATGGTTCCCGATAAGCTAACCCGCCATTTCACCACAAAACATCAATCGTTACAAAATAAACAAATTGATTATTTTCGAAGACTATTAGATTCAAAAAAACTACAATCAAAACAATTTGTAAGATCAGTGAAAATTTCGGATAAGGCACAGGAAGCTAGTTTTCGTATCGTCCAATTGATAGCTCAAAAAAAAAAACTCATTTAATTGCCAAGAGTCTTATTATGCCAGCTTGTCGTATTATGGTAAAGACTATGTTAGGAGTCGAAGCAGAAAAAGAAATAATTAAAATACCATTATCTGATAGTACAATTAGTCGTAGGATTATAAATATATCAGAGGATATTGAGAAGCAGGTTATTGAAGTTATAAAAAGTGGAGAATTATTTGCCTTGCAAGTTGATGAATCAACAGACATAAGTGGGAAAGCTCAATTAACGGCATTTATTAGATTTATTGTAAATTCAAAAATAGTTAGTCAGTTTTTTTTGTTGTAAAGAATTATCTGGGACAACAACTGGTCGAGATGTTTTTGATATCATAAATAAATATTTTAAAAATTATGGTATATCGTGGACTTTTTGTGTAAGTATTTGTACAGATGAGGCGCCATCAATGATAGGCTCTATTAAAGGATTTATTACAATTACCAAAAATCAAAATCCAAATATAAACACAACACACTGTTTTTTACACAGGGAGGCATTAGTAGCAAAAAGTATTGTTAATGAATTAAAGATTGTACTTGATCAAGTCGTAAAAATGGTGAATTTTATTAAAAGTAGACCTTAAAAAATTCGATTATTTTCCCAGTTATGTGAATCAATGGAATCTGACCACTTTACATTAATTATTCATACAGAAGTACGTTGGTTATCAAAAGGGCGAGTTTTATCACGTTTTTATAAACTTAGAGAAGAACTTTTAGTATATTTTACAATGGAACAAATGGAATATTCCGATTATTTATCCGATGAATTTTGGTGTTCAAAATTAGCATATTTAGCTGATATTTTTGAACACCTGAATCAATTAAATTTAAGTATGCAAGGTGAAAATCAAAATTTATTAATATCTACAGACAAAATGGCTGCATTTAAAGGCAAATTATTGATTTGAAAAAGAAGGGTAAATGATAATAATTTGGATATGTTTCCTTTAACTGCTAATACTAAATTTACTGATAAAATAATATCAATTATCAATGACTCAAAAACATTATTGGACCAAAAACTTGATCATTATTTTTCATCGCTGGATTTGAAATTATTTAATTGGATGAGGAATCCATTTAATCCTAGTTTAGAAACCACACATCTTTCATTAAAAGTGGAAGAAGAACTTGCAGAATTAAAAAACGATCGCACAATTTCAAATGAAATTTGATGAGCTCGAGCTAAGCCAATTTTGGATTTACACAAAAAAAAAAATATCCGAACTTAACAAAATTGGCTCATTCCGTATTATTACCATTTTCGACATCATATTTGTGCGAGGTAACTTTTTCTGCTTTGAATGAAATTAAAAACAAAAAAAAGGGAAAGATTAATTAATGTCGAAGAGGAGTTAAGAGTCGCCTTATCGAAGATTTCACCACGAATTGATACATTATGTAAGAAATATCAGTCACAAATTTCTCATTAAAATGCTGTTTTACCTATGTTATATTTTTCTTTGTTGTTTTATATATTATAATTGATTATATATTATAAGTTTATATATTATTAACTAATTATAAATATTTAATACTATCTATTATTCTTATTTTTTTTACTATGTGTCGCAAAGTATGAAATATTTTAATAGTGTGTCGCCATTATACAAAAGTTGAGAAACACTGATATAACTTATTGTATCATATCATAATATCAAACCTTTTCGAATTTTATCGTTTTTGCATTAAGTACCTTTTATATCAATCTATATATAACTTATTGGTTTTTACAACTTGTATGTTAATAATTATCACACTTTATTGAAACATTGTAATACACAACACACGACAATACACAACTATAACCGTGTAAATCGCGTATAAATTGCATTAAAATGTACATGTAAGATTTCATTAATTAATTCAAATGGTGATATTGAAGTTTTTTTGAATGAATATTTTTGACATTTATATTTACATATCATAATAAATATTAATAACTTATTTATTTTATTTATTGATTTATATATATATATTTTTTTTTTACGTCCATTTGTCCCCACGTCCAAATGGCTATGTCGATTTATCCTAGATCTCGAAATTTACATGGGTCGCGAAAAATGTTTGGTAAGAAAAGTGGGTCGCAAGTCGAAAAAGGTTGAAAACTACTGTATTCATATATATAGATATATATGGTACTTATATTATGGATAATTCAGGTATTTTGCAAAATGCCTAAACATTATGCAAATTGCCGACCCATTTAAGGCAATGTAAATAAAACATATGATTTTCAATATTATTTTACATATTACCTAGATATTTTATAAAATACCAAGGCATTATGCAAAATTCCAATTTCTTTTTTTAGACAAAGTACTGAACATTTTATTATATGTTATATTACACTATGATCCTTATAATTATTAAACATTATTACTCATATTACAGACAAAATTTAATTTTTATCTATTATTATATTATAACTATTAACTAAATATTTTACTTGAACTACTATTTACTTATTATAACATGCTATAGAAAAATCACATTTTTAAGTGCACAAAATGTTATTTTTATGGCAAATACACTTTTTATTTTAAAAGAACTTACAAACCCATTTTAAAAATCCTTGGCCAATTCTTGTGGATTGCATTTTTATCAACTCATTATACTGTTCATCAGATAAAAAACTAATATTAGTGGCCACATTTTTAAAAAAAAATTTTATAGTTTATTTTAAAAATTTGACGTCATATAAATCCTATGTATAGTTGCAACACCAAAATGAGACACGAAAATGACGATATTGAAAGAAAACTATTATACATCATACATTATACATTCAATATTGTATATCAGAATTATTATTATAGTAATAAAACAATATTAATCTTTATTGCGTTAAATCCTGAACGCACAGTTATGTTAAACGATATGTAAAATCGTTGATAATAGGCGATGCCCAATGTTTTTTATTTTCTTCATATTGCCTACTCTACGATTGGCATTTTACATAGTACCTAGGTAAAGCTCGTATTATGTATATTGCCGAGTGATTTTTGGCATTTTACAAAAATCGGATTATCCATATTACCGGTAACATAAATATATTTGTTTAATGTATACAAGCAATATAATAATAATAGTAATAATTCATATTCTTAGTCTTTGGAACTTTTGGAGTCCAGAGTTTCTTCTATTGATTTTACTACATATTTAACTGATCTATGAACTTGTTTTAATAAAGACTAGTTTTCTAAAATTTGGTCATAGAATTCTTCACAAGATGTATTATTGAAGCACATTTTTATAATAAGAGAAGCTTCTACCATTTTTTTATCAAGTTTTTTTCTTGAATTTTTCCATGTGCTGTTCATTAGTGAAAAACACGTTCCACAGCTGCATTTGAATCCGGTCAAAACAAAACTAAATTCAACAACTTTTAATAGTTCAGAAAATGCATGATTGTTATCAGTGAATATTTTGAAAATATATATCCATTTTTTTTCTATTTTTTGACAATGCCACTCGTAATTTTGTTGATGGATTTTTTCAAGAATTTTGAATTGTTCGATAAACATTCCTTCATCAAAATTAACATTATTTGACATTATAGTTTTTATAAAGATTACTGATTTTTTGAAATTTTCCCAATTTACTATTGTCTTTGGGGCTAATGTTATCCATAACATTGATTTTAAATTACTTACATGTTGATTGGAATTATTCCATTTTTTTAAAAAGTTGTAACAAAGTACAAATAATTTATCAAATTTACTTTTAAAATTAGTTCTATTGATAATTCATCGTCCTCCAGTTTTGTTACAAGATTTTCAATTTCTACCGTGAGAAACCGATCCTTTCTTTTTTTTTTCAATTTTCTCCATAAGGTCTTCCATAGTAATCATTCATTCGATCACCGATAATTTTTGATTTTCAACTTTCTTTATATACGAATTTATAGTTTTTAACGGACTACACAAAAACTTAAGCCATAATAAAGCACTATAATTTTTAAAAAAAAGTTGAGTGCATTTGGACAATTGTTTTAAGACAAAAATTATGATTTCAAACCATTAAAGATTGATATGATGCATTCAATAGCAGGAAAAAGAAAAAGCCACCTTTTGAATGAGAGAGTAAATCCTTGTACTGAACGTCAGCAAAATCGCAAAATTCTGTTAGATTTTCAATACGAACTGTGTTAATATGAAAAAAACTGAAAATGTTGCATACTATACTCTCAACATCAAATGGGAAGCCATCTGAAGCACACTGAATACTGTTGTGAATAATATGTGCGTAACAAACCATTCTTAAAATATCCCTGTTTAGGGTTTCTTTTAATTTTTTAAAAATATATTTTTTTTCTTTCCAAAATTAGTATTAATGTTGTCGGCAGAATAATTGATAATTTTTTTCTTTTAAATTAAAATCATTTAAAACTTTAATGATTTGGTTATAAATTATATCAGCAGTTTCTCCGGGTAAATTAGAAAACTCTAAAATATTATTTTTTACTCCATTGTTAGTTGAAAAATAACGCAAAAGTACTGGTATTAATTAATAGCCTTATGATTAGAAGTATCAACTAAAATAGATACAAAGTTAACTTTTTTTTTAATCGTCTATCGTTAACTGAACAGCAAAAGGAGCAATCACATTTACAGCAACTGCTCTGGTTTTAGTTCGAACAGTTTTTTTTTTTTTTTTTTTTTATTACTTTATTTATATTTCCACAATCTGTTACATAAATTTGAACAATAAGTGAAATTGATGAAATACATAACTATGGCGTGAAGGACGGATTAAAGATACCTTCCAGTGAAGGCACTTTTACAGTTAAATATGAGAAAAAAAAAAAAAAAAAAAAGTGTTAAACAATGTTAGAAAATATCATAAGGAAAGATAAGTGGAAATAGCAAAGGTAGATATAGAGAGAAGAACAAAAGAAGTTAGATTGATCTAGACTAATAGGTCCCTACACCACCGCCTTTTCAACCTTTTTTGTGGGTTGCCGAGTATATTTATAGACGCAAGTTCTTTGATTAAAGGATTTGTATGGTTTTGTAGGTTGAAATTGAAACGTCTGTAGAAGGTCTTAGCTACATCGTTGGCAGGAGAGATGGTTAGGTCGTTATGTAATGTATGATTTGATACGTAGAAGGGTGCTTTGGTTATAGCGCGGAGGACTTTGGACTGGAAACGCTGGATACGGTTGACATTTGTAGGTTTTGCGGAGCCCCATAATTGGATTCCGTACGTCCAAATTGGTTTTAAGTAGAGTTTATATATTAATAATTTAGTGGATAATTTTATGTGATGAGAAGTAAGAAGAGAACGGAGAAGACGAAAACGATCGTTTAGGGTTAAGAGCTTGTTACGTATATGTGGAGCCCAGGTGAGACGTTGATCCATGGTGATGCCTAGGTAGCGAATGCATGGTGCGACAGGTAGAATTTGTTCATTAAGGATGATAGGTGGACATTTTTTTTTTCCTAAGAGTGAAGGTGCAATGTATGGATTTAGATTCATTAATTTTTACTCCCCATTCCTTATACCATTGTTCGAGGAGGGAGAGATGTTCTTGGATGTTGAGGGAGGCAGTGATTGGGTCGATATTGCTGGTTATTATTGCCTTATCATCGGCAAAATCACCAACAAGGGAAGTGGGTATTGTTGGTTGGTCAGATATGAAAATGTTGAATAACAGAGGAGCAGTGACTGCACCTTGAGGGACTCCTGCGTTGATTGGTTTCGGTGGGGAGGTGGATGATCCGTAACGTACCGAGAAGAAGCGATCTTCTAGGTAGGATTTCAGAATCAGGTAGTAGCTAGCTGGTAGAATGAGCTTCAATTTGTGCAGTAGACCTGCGTGCCAGACGCGGTCAAACGCTTGGGAGACGTCAATAAAAGCACCTGTACAGTACTGTTTTTCCTCTAAGGAGAAAGATATCTTGTCTACTATTCTGTGAATTTGATGGATGGTGGAATGTTTGCTACGAAAACCAAATTGTGAGTCGGGTAAAGCTTTTGTTTCTTCAACGATTTTAATAAGTCTTTTTAGAAGCATTTTTTCAAAAACTTTTGATAGTATTGGTAGCAAACTTATTGGTCTGTAGGATGATGGACAGTCTGGAGGTTTTTTTTTGGTTTCAGGATAAGTATAACAGAGGAAAACTTCCATAGTAATGGGAAGTAGGATAATCTGAGCATCGAATTATATATGTAGGTCAAAAGTATGATAACTTTTTTGGGGAGCTGGTTAAGTACTTCTGCTGTT